GCTTTCCAGCTGTGTCCTGGGCAGAAACTGAGCTTGTCACGGTTCTTGAGGTCATCATGAACTCTGATGGGTTGGGAGCCCTTTAATGACACCTTTGCTCCACAGTTCTCTGTGGAGGCCAGGATTATTTTCAGTGCTGCTCTGCCTTCTGAGACTTTTGCTTCCCAAACCCCATTTTTGTCCCTGCTCTCTACACAGGGGTCAATCTCTAGCTCCATCCCTACTCTCTCTTTCCACTTTATCCTTTGCTCAGGCCCATACACATCCACATCTAACTTGGTGACTTCCCAGGGAGAGCCGGAAGTGTCACACCACATGACCTTTTCCCCTAATCCTGTACCCTCTCTTCCCTTGCACTGGGGTTGATGCCAAAAGCACTCCATGATAAACCTCTATGTGCTCATCTTGGCCTTAGTCCCTGTTCACAGGAGACCTGGCTTGTGACAGTTGTTACCAGTGAATCAGGTGGGAGAGATAAGACTAGCCAGATAGGAAATGGGTCCCCTGGCAACTTCAGGGCAGCAGAGCACTACCAGAAGCTGTAGATTTTTTTCCCCCCAGTACTAAGAATTGAAACCAGAGGTGCTTTACCACTGAGTCACAGCCCATGTATTGTGCCCCTTTTATTCTTTTATTTTGAGACAGGTTCTTAATAAATTGCTTAGGGCCTTGCTAAATTGCTGAAGCTAGCCTCGAACTCTCATCCTCCTGTCTCAGCCTCCCGAGCCACTGGGATTACATATGTGTGCTACCATGCCCAGCTCCGCAGCAGCTTTTTGCTGAAAAACTTGCAAAAAAGGTTATTTTTAAATCAGGACATACTGACCTGAAGTTCACAGCCTCTCCAAAGAAAGAAAAATGCCTGATCTATGTTTTGATTGGACTAAATTCTGTATGAATGCCTCCTGGATACTTAGTTCCTTACTCAAGATTGGGCTGGGGGCTGACTTCCTTAAACATATAAATCCATATAAACCCCTAGACAATAGCCAATCACTGGCAACCCTCTTAGTTCCCCTTCTAGGTGAGATTTGCTTTGCTTTGCTTTGCTTTAATAAATTCTTAAACTTTGCTTTTACCCATTGCTGTCTGTCAATTTCATTCTTTGATTGCAAGACAAAGAACCTACCCAACTCCCAACTCTGTGCTTCATGGTACAGCAGGAGAATGTTCCTGTTTGCCCTGGACCAAGASGTTTCTCCAGGATATGGATCTTTCAGTGCTAAAACTAGGACAGTCCTGGGATCAGGAGTATCTCAGAAAAGAGACACTGAGGTAGAATTCTAAAGCAATGAAGACCCCAATATGGTTGTGGGTGGCAGCGAGTTGGGAAGACAAACTTTGCCAAAATGGAATAATGTGATTATGTAAACTTTTACCAGTGTTTAATATGGATGCTTTACCTGTAGGAGTGAATGCAAAAAAATAAAAAAACATGAGTCAGGCATTTGAAAAMTATGAAGAAAATGATATTTTAAGGAACATGGAACCTATTCCACTAGTGCCCGTGTTCAAGCAGTTTGGTAGCACTGTGGCCAAGCATGATTGATGATTTGCAAAAGGTAAAACACTGCTTATACAGAGGTGTTTTTCTATGATACATTTTTTTAATGGAAAAATCTTTAAAATCAATTGGTAGGAAGTGTCTGTTATTTAACATAAAAACATCAATATTAAATATTGCACTCATTTTCAAAATTAATATTTAGACTATACAAGATAAAATAAACTSCATCTAATTTAAACTATGGAGAGAACAAGCAGGAAGTTGCTCCTGTACATTGACCTTAATACTTCATTYGTGCTTCCCATTACTCAGGAAGCTCCAGATCCTCCCAGCCGCCAGGTGTCCACACAGGACTCTGCAAAACAGAAACAGGTACAAGGTCACTGGGGAGGCAGAGAAAAAGTAGGGTCTCACTGCRGGGGAGGAGTATAGGAATAGAACGCTCCTCGGGCCCTGAAAAGTGACCCTGGGATCTGACCTTCCTAGGGGTTCAGGTCAGGGAGCACTGAGACCTGTTTGCTGTCCTCTGCTGAGGGTATTGTCTGTGGGCCCAATGTCTACAACTGTCCTCCAGGAGCAAAATCTCCTGTACATACACCTGTGTATACAGCCTTCAGGGGCTGCTCCCATGGACAGTGAACTTGAGGCAGAGGAAAGAGTGGTTTCCATGACCCTGGAATGGAAAGACCTAGACCCACACACCTGGCCACCTGAGGAGCAGCAGATCTGATAACTCGGAGGGAGGAGAGACTGTGTCCCTACATCCATGAAATCCCAGGATACATCATGTGACCCACATGGAATTCTTTATTAATTCCTGGAATTCTTTATTATTTTCCCCTAACACTGTAAAACTTCTTATTTACACCCTCATCAAACTTGTTTTTTTTAATATCCTTTGCTGTGGTTTAATATATATCTCATTATTTCAAAATGTTCCAGTGGGAAAATGGTTACTGAGGACAATACTTTTTTAAAGAGTGATAACATTTATTATATTTGTTATTAAATTATAAAATCAGAAAATACATAAAATCAAGGTAAACAACTTATGATCTGGCTCTTTTAATTCACTCATATGAGCAATGCATTGCATTGCTTCAGGTGCTTGCTTTGTTCAAATTTGACAAATGTACAAAAATTTATACCATTCATCTCTAAATACAAAATCCTTCAAACCTCAGAGAAATAGTGCCATGAGGTGAACCCAGGCCCCCACAAGRCTCCACAGAAGATGAGGTCCCCAGAGGCATGATGAAATCCCACCTGTTCTTGGGTCCTGTAGTGTTTCCAGATAGCATGACTTGCTAAGTGCCTATAGCACCCAAAGCTGAACCAAGAGGGCTGTCCTTCCTGCATGAGCAGGAGCCACTCTCCACCCCACATTCTTCCAGGAGGCTTGAACCACACAAGGTCAGGACAGCTTTCCAATGTCTCCCCATACCTAATGACTCACTGGCCATGCTCCCTGTTGGCTTTAGTGGGTTGGGCAGGCACAGCTGGTTACCAGAGAATGAGAGGTTGTACAACATTGGTGGCATTTCACAAATGACACAATGAGGAGCACCCTCAGAATTCATGCACATGTTGGATCTACCAGTTCTTACAGCCTCTCCTAGTTAAAGCAGCTATGGGAGGTTTGGCCTGACAGGAGTAGGAGAAGCTATGGAATGGGTATCCATTTCCTGGGACACGAGGACAATAAATGTAGTCACAAACACAATGCTGTGTAACAAAACCCATGAACACAAAGTTTCTTACTACTATGTCATTAAATGGTAAAATAAATATATCATATTTTTTTCTTTCTTTTTCCTTTTTGTTTTTTCATTGTTTGTGATTTCATGCTCCCTTCCCCTGRCTCCAAAGCAACAGGTGTAAACCAATTGTTCCCAAAAACTGGCTCTGATTGGGTCCAACCTGTAGTATTGTTACATACCTGGAGAGTCTTCCTTTTCATTGTGGAGTCACTGATATTCTCTACAAGTAAATCTTTAGAAACACAAATATAAACAATGAGTTATTTGAACTTGGTGCTCCCTATACCAGTTGAGGATATACAGGCGCACATAACATCTCATAGCTCTTTCCTCTRGGTGGTAAGTTGCGCTCTGGGCTCTACAGAAATGGAGGCCTTCATCAAGACATTGCAATCAGTTGCAAACCTTCAAGGTAAATAGAGGAGCTGAATAAATTATCTTTCAACTTCTCACTTCCACTAACCCATTATGATTCTAACTTCCAAACATACAAACCTGAATTTTCAACTTTGCTGCAGATGCATTGAGATTTATGAGTTCAATGGACAGACCCCAGGCAAGGCTCAGAAAGCAACTGCCCACAAGAGGTTGGAATATTCTCTTGAGGTTCCAAATGTTTGATTTCATTTAGTTAAATTAAATTAAATATAGGTAGCAACCATGGAGGACTTACMCATTGAATGGCAATGACCTAAAGTCCAAAGATGGGGAAGACATAACCTCCCTTCCCTTGGCTTTCCCTTTCAGAGTAGTTTGCTAGCCTGATCCAATTATTCACTAACAAATGCACTCCGAGAACATGCACAAGGGCCAGAATTTTATGAGTTCCTGGAGATGCTAAAACAATGAGGCTAAAGTCCAGGCCCATGTGGATTCCCAATAGTGCCCAGGAAAACCTATCAGGAAGTGATGAGCCCAGTGAGAGCTAAGAGGCAGGGGAAACAATGTTGTCTTCAGGAGCCTACCTTTATCCTCYTGAGCCTGGGTCAGAGCCTGAACATCCACCTGTCTTGGGGTGGGGCACAACAGGACAGAAGAATTAAAAAGGRGACTTTTCCACACCTGAGGAAGATCCAAGCCCAGGGAATTTCAATCAGGTACTCCTGGAACTAAGACAAGCTGATCAGGACTAAGCTCAGGAATGAGGAGGAATAAAAAGTATATGGGTCCTGCCCATGTAGTGACTGCCCAGGGCCAAGACCCCTCTACCCATGAATGGAGGACATAGACAGAATTTAAGGCTGTCAATTCTAGGATATGTCAGAGACACTTTCAAATTGATGTCCTCTGAACCATTCAAGGGAGCAGGCAAGGACCACCTGGAGAGTGAGATGAGCCCATATCGCTGACCTGAGCTCACCTTGTAGTAGAGCCCATGTATTCAACCCCACACTGCCATTAGAATGTGCTATAACTGCACTGACCAAACACAGTTTAAAGACGGTTTTCTGGGCCAGACAATCCTTAGCCAGCACTCTCTCCATGAGAACTGATTGTCTGAAAACTTTGAGAAGCAATAAAAGGTGGACTTCTGTCCCAGCATATGGAATTTCAGTCTTAGGACCAACCCTGAAGTCCATCACTATAAATTTAATTCCTGCCAGTTTGGACCAGAGATGTGGGCACCTGACTCCTTTTCTCTAACTCTATTTTCTGTGGGTAAAACTGTCATCATTATAGTCATTACTATCACACAGGGAGATAGAAAAGACATGCACATGAAGAAGGCTTCTCTCTCCTAGCTTTTAAGAGACAAGTGTGCAATGCTTATGTCACCTGTAAGAGTCACATCTTGCTCATTCCCACTCAGGAAGGGCCTAATTGTATGACTTGCTCAGATAATGATGTTAACATGATTCTGTAGACCTGCAACCTTGGCATCCACCTTCATCCCAGAAGATGGATTCCTTCATGTCTTCCTCCAGCCAGGTAACTATTGTCCTTCATAAGGTCTATACTATGCTCTGCCCTTCTTCTCTCTCTCATGGAATCCACTGGACAGCTCTCCATAAATTCATGGAGYCCAAGGGGTGGTAACACTGGTTTTTATCTCTAATCACACACAGCAGAATTATTAGTGAGCTATCACCTAGAAATTCAAGATTTCTAGGATAACTTTGTCTCAAGTCCATGGTTTCTGAGGGTAACTAAGTGAAATTTGTAAATATTAGAGTCTTATATATTTACAAATTTCTAATATTTACAAATTTCACTTGTTACCCTCAGACTCTAGTATTTACAAATTTCACTTAGTTACCCTCAGAAACCATGGACTTGAGACAAAATTACCCTCATCTTGTTTTTATGGGAAAACAATTTTGAGACAAAATTACCCTCATCTTATTTTTGTGGGGAAAATATTCACACCTATAGGGTGATCAAATTTTATTAAAATTCAATATTTTCCACAAAAAAAAATGTTGCCAAAGTAAACTCAAATCATTGCTTGGCTTATTTTATATTCACATAGACTTAGAACTATATTGACCTTGTTTCATTGTAAAGATCTCAGAAACAACCAAGGAGATACGATGGAGATTCTTTTCCTTGGCTGCATTTATCTCTCTCCACCTTGCAGTGAATGACTTCCCCTTAGTCCTTCTAGAAAGGAAGCTCAACCTGATGTTCAGTACCTCAAGCAAACCTCTTTTTCACCATACATTTTACAGTATTTCTGTCCAGTGCAACAAAACCATGACCAGAGTAAATGAGGGGAGACAGATTTTTCACATACAAAAGGCATGTGCTACTCTTAGTAACATTATCAATTATTAGACCTCCATGGAGAAATTTGGAGTGAATTTCCCCAACTCTGCCTTCAGGCTCTTTCTGTTAGATTTCTGCTAGAACTGTGGCTGTACCAGGGTTTCATTACAAAGGAAATACCCTTCCCAGCACTCCATGTTCAAACTGGGTTGGATAAATTAATTCTAAGGTCTTTTTGAGAAAAGGGTTATGTATAAAAAAATTGTCAAGAATAAAGAATTATGACTAATCAAATGCCAAGAACAAGTATAGAGGCCTGCTGACAGGTGATTCATTATAAAATGAAGTTGCTACTAGCTCATTAACAGGGATTATGAAACACATCTTTGTCCTCTGTATATCCTGGGAACATTGTCCTGGGTTTTGATGTGATATTTTCCATGTTAATTGAGGTATACTTGACATGCAGTAAATTGCACACATATAGAGTGTATAATTTGATTAATTTACATCTATTTATAATCATGCTGCAATAAAGATAGCATTTTTATTAAGAACATTCACACTGGSGACTAAGGGAATAAATATTTAGTAAAATACACAAAAACCCACACACAGACACAATCAGAATAATATCACACAAATACACACACAGACACACTGCTTCCCTGAACACATATCCTCATACCACCTAAAGGGAACAAGTTGCTTTCAGAGGAAATGAAGAATGGCCATCAGTTCAACTGGAAAATCAGTTCCTACCACCATACCCCAGTCCTTATCCATGGCAGACAGTTGGAATCAGGGCGGCTCTCCACATGAAAGTCAGCAAGACAGTTCCACCTTCCTCATCATCTAGACAATTCATCAGCAAGTGAGTGATTCCACAGTGCATACCATTTTCAGTTCCTCTTGCATCCACCTGCAATTACAGAGAAAGGATCACTAAYGTGGACAGTCCATCCTGATTCTCTTCTTCATTTTGTGACATTAGGAAATCAGATGGAAAGCGGGTCAAGTCAGAGGAACCCAAAGGCAAGGACAGATCAAACCTACTTTCGCCAAGACATCACATCTTCCCGGGTGACGTATATCTAAAGTCTCTTGTGGTTGGAAATTACAAAATTATTTTCCAGGGAGTTGCTGAGGAAAATGCTTTCAACTATACACTTTAAAATGATCATATGACTTTTAAAAATTGTCTTGAATTTGGTATCAGTTGCTAATAGACTCTTCACCATGGAAACTCTATATATCATCTAAACTATGCATCTTCAGATTTTCAGTAGAAAGAAACCAAGAAGACAACACTGCCATTTCAAAGGAAGATAATGAGACCTTACCAGGACATTCAGTGGGTCCTCCTTGTCATTGYTGTCACTTGCAAGTGATTCCAACAAGTCCTCAGAGGAAACTAAGAGGACAAAGAGTAATTGTCAGTATCTGGTTGTTTCTGCTCATGAATTATTGAGGGGCATTACTTGATATGGATGCATGGCAAGCGTGAAAGGCAAAGGAATGGAGCAGGAAAGAGATGAGAGACAGAGCCTTTGGCTTTCAAGCCAAAATCAAACTAATTGATGTGAAATACTCTAAAAAGGAAATAAACACTAAAGTCCATGCTGTGTTTCAATAATTGAGTCCCAGGCCTCTTCTTGCCTATTCAGATGCAGAGCTAAATGGTCATAATCTTCTTGATACCTTCCAARACCATATTTTACCCCTGGATGCACAAATGCTGCTACTATGCATATTGTCTCTTTAAAAGGCTTTTTACTTTATTAATAGCAACCTTGTTTGGCAGATTGGATTCAGTTATAGACAAAATATTCTACTACATTTACTTTCTAATTTTTATAAAAAATAATTTGTCACTAAAGATTTTAAAACATTAAAATCTTACCATTTAAAAATAACCACTACTGATCCCTCCCTAAATCTTTTTCCTTCCTTTCTTTCCAATATTTGGGATCAAACCCAAGGCCTTTTGCATGCTAGGCAAGCAATCTAGCACTAAGCTACACCCCTAGCGCTCTTGAAAGTGGTTATCACTAGGTTGCCCAGACTGGCCTCAAAATTGTGGTCAGTCCTGCCTCAACCTCCAGAGCAGATGGGATTAGAGGTGTATATACCATACGTGGCCCTTTCTGCCTTTTCTACACAAGATGCATATCCACTGTGTCACTAGCTGCTCACACTCACACTAGTCCTGGGATAATGGGTCAGTTCATAATGGAGTTCAGCAGTGGTGAGTGCTGACACCCTAACCCAGCTGGAAGAGAGATTTGCAACAAGGGTGATAAACCAAGACTAACATCTAAGTTGTAGTTTGAGTTCTTATTTGTCACTATCCCTTGATTTTGTGTGCTAATGAGGTTGAGCATTTCTAAAGCTAATGGTAGTCACATTATTAAATAACTACAGAATAACTTCTTGATTCTTGTTCACAGACAGCAAGGAACCCCAGCACTAGCAGCTGTGAACCTTGACTATCCTACTAGATGCCTCACACCTGTCAAAATATGTGAACTTACCAGAACCCTGTGGGCTATGTGTCCTTTGCATTATTGTCAGTACCAAAGTCTGATGTTAAATGTACCTAATGCACTCTAGGTTACTTGACTACAGGGATCACATAATGATTGACAATGTTTGGGACCTCTGTAAATATAATCCTTCCAGAGCCATACAGATGTGCTGAACTCCCTAGCCTGGTGACTTAAGTTATTCCATAGCTGAATTATGAATACAATTTTGTAGCCCAGAGTATCACCACGGGGACCAGTGCCTGGGTTCACATGTGCCTATTCTACTTACAGGGTCAAGAATCTGATCACTCATCCCTAAATCATGTCCATCTAAGAATTGGTGACATTAAACTAACTTTCAGATTCTGCTGTGGAGGTGGCTGAATAAATTGATTTATATTAAGTGTTCATGGATGTGGKATTTTTATTTTTAGAAAATTGCCATTTGTGTTGTGCTGTGAATGTGGGAGCATATCTTCTGGGGAAATGCACACGAGTGAACACATTCCCACCCACTATACACAGACTCACTGGTTAATACCTCCTATTGGTCATGCCAAAAACCACAAAAATGATAGAGCTCCACCTGAGGACTGTAATAGATGGTCATCAGTCTTCACTGGACTATCAGTTTCTTTCACCAAACCCCCAGTCCTCTTTTCCAGCAGGAATCTGGAATCAGGATGGCTTTGCAGACAGAAACAGGCAAGAAAGTTGAAACTTTTTCAGCACTTCAATTTTCCCTCAGCAAGTAAGTGAATTGAGAATACATACAGTTTTCATTTGCTCCTGAGTCCACCTACAATTAAAGAAAGAAGGACACTTTGAGCATCACATCATGCCACATCCTGCTTGCACAGGACTTTGTTTACCATGATGACATGGGAAAACTAGATGGGAAACAGAGATCCAGGAAATGGTAAAAAAGTAAAGCCTAGAGGGCATGTGCACCAAGGCCATCGTCTTTATATGGAAGATTTCTCAAGTCCATTTTGGTTGATACATATAAAATTCCTTAATAACCAGAAAATGTATTATAAAGAGAAATTCTCACTATTCTCCAATTTGTAACTGATGCTGTCATACATGAATACAATCTGGAGTCAGATATCCATTAGCAAGAGACTTGTGGTTGACATTCCTTGGCAAAGGGAATTGTGTAGTTATCTACAAAGTACTTGGTCAGATGTTCATGTCTGAAGCTGATTAAAAAAGAAAGCAAAGGGGGCGGGGGAGCATGTAAGATGTCAAACAAAGAAAGACATCATTTCCTTGCTGATAGATAGAACTTTACCCTCTGCCTTGAAACTCGTGAGCTCTTACATCAGCACCACTGGGGAATCTAGGAGAATTCAGATAATTTTCAGTACACAGGAGTTGCTAAAGAATGATTTGGGGATCTTTTTTGGCATAGACAGATAAGTGATTGAAAATACAGACTGAGTTTCTGCTGGAATGTACTCCTCATTGGATATAGGAACAAAAAGTAAATAGGAGAAAGATCAGTAGAATAGAGAGGAAGGGAGAGGGGAAATACTGGGGACTGAATTAGAGCAAATTAATTTCCAATCCTAATGTATAACTAAAAAGAATCAAACCAAAAATTTTAAAAGGAGTAGAAAGGGGAAATAACAAAACCTTGGCTTTCTAGCTAAGTCTAACCAAATACACCTGAAACAGTCCATTTACAAATGGATTCATAATAAAATGCACTATATGATTGAATATCAGTGGCTTTTCACTCTTTCATCCCCATCTTGAAGCCCAGACATCTCCCCTGATTTCCACTTTAAATTTTACCAAATTATTTGACTTTAACAAATCCATCACCTGCTGCTACTGCATTTATCATGTATTCTGTTTCACTTCTAGACTTTGTGGTGAAATATATGTAATATTAATGATTTTAATCATTGGCAAGTGTTTATTTTGGCAGTATTAAAAGCTGAAAACTGGACTCGGGTTGAAGCTCATTGRTAGAGCGCTTGCCTTGCATATATATATAAGGCATATGGGTTAGATCCTCAGCACCACATAAAAATAAATAAATAAAAGTATTATAGGGCTAGGGCTGGGGTTCATTGGTAGAGCACTGGCCTAGCATGTGTAAGGCACTGGGTTTGATTCTAAGCACCACACATAAATAAATGAATAAAATAAAGGTCCATCAATATCCAAAAAATTAGAAATTTATTGTATCCATCTGCAACTAAAAAAAAAACATATATTTTTTAAAAGGCTGAAAACCTTCCACAAAATCAGCAACAAGTCAAAGATGTCTACTTTTACTATGGCTATTTATCACTGGACTTGAAATTCTAGTTACAGCAATTAGATGAGAAAAATATTAAAGGTATCAGGTTTGAAGGGAGGAAATTAGATATCTCTTCTCCCAGAGGACATGATCCCACACATTAAAAATCTCAAAGACTGCACAAGAAAGTTCCCCAAAATTGATGAACAAATCCTGCAAAGTTGCAAGTCAGAAGATCAAAAGAAACATTTTGTCTGCATACACCAGTAATTACCAACACAAAAAAGACATTTTAAAAAGTAATTCCATTTATAAACACATCTACAATAAAAAATACATATAGCAATAAATTTAAACAGAGAAGGAAAGTTTGGTACACTTAAAACCAGAAATTGTTACTGAAAGAAACTAAAGACTAACTAAATAAATGTTAAAGTGTGCTCGTGAATTTAAAAGACTTAATATTGGACTTAAAACAGTCCTCAGGACAAGAAACCGATTAGGGAAAATAGAGGCATTACSTAATGATAGAGGGATTGATTCTCGAAGAAGTCAAGAGAGTCTTTTTTTTTGCATGCACCTAACAACAAATCATCAAAATTCTTGAGACCAAAATGGATGGAATCAGAATGAGAAGTTAATACAGTATTATAGTGGAAGAGTTAAACACCCCTTTATCAGTACCTAAAGGATCCAGCAGGAATAGCATAAACAAGGTCATCATTGTACTGAACAACTCTGTTATGGGTCAAATTATGTCCCTGAGAATAAAAAAAAAAGTCTCACAACATGACCTTTTTTGGAATTACAGTCATTACAGATGAAATCAGTTAAGGTGAGGTCACCCTGAATTGGGGTGGACCTCTTATCCATTTGGCTGATGCTTTTATAAGGAAAGGAAACAAATCCATGAAAAGGGAATGCGAGGCACTGGTGGAGGCAGAGTAAAGTGTTGAAGTTGCAAACCTGGAAAGCCAGCAAAGTGGCCAGAGGTAGAGGGGAGGAAAAAAAAAAAAAACAAGGAAAAATCTGCCCTATAGATTTGATACATGTCTACACTCTGATTATGGAGAACTGTGAAACAGTATATTTCTTTAAAAAAATAACTGATTATATATATATATATATATATATATATATATATATATATATATATATATATTACATTTATTTCAAGCCAAAGAGTTTGGTACCTTGTCATAGAAGTAGCCCCCCAATAAAACTAAGAAAAGGGGCTGGGGCTGTAGCTCAGTGGCAGAGCACTTGCCTAGCAGGTGTGAAACACTGGGTTGGATTCTCAGAACCACATAAAAATAAATAAATAAAATAAAAGCATTATGTCCATCTACAACTGAAAAGTATTTTTTTAAAAAACTTCGAAAAGCACTATCATTCAACCAGACCTAATTGGTACTTGTACAATTGCCACTTCAACAATTAGACAATATAAGTTCTTCTCAAGGTCACAGGAAACATTTTTCAAGATGGACAACAGGGCCATCAAACATACCTTGACATAAGAAAACAAAAAGAATGGGAGGTTTGAATGGCTCTCAGTGGGGCCTGGCCCTGCAGCCAACGGATGCTCTAGGCTGTCCAGTGGGTGGTTTGCCAGCACCAGTGCTGGTGTGAGGTGCCAGAATTTAAGAGATTATGACATCTGAAGCGCACAATGTTAAAAAATGAAACTTTTGTAATAATATTGAGGATCATTCCATTGAAGAAAAATCTTCCTAGAGAAAAAGATCTCTAATTTCTCTAATAAAAACATGAAGCATGTTAAGAAATCTCTAAAACAGTTGGCTGCTTTTATAAATACAACAGTTGAATGCAACATCCTTTCCCAAATCCTTGTTATAGTAAAAAAACAGCTCTCTAGATAAATGGGAACTGCTACATGGCAAATAAAGAAAATGAACTGGCTTGTGCAGGCTACCTGCCTGCAAAATTATGCCATGATGATCATATATATTTGATTAATTCCAGTGATTCTGGTTCTTCACAGACAGGAAAACTCATCATCYAATACAGTGTTTTTGTTTTGTTTGTTTTTTTTCCCTGAGGTTTCTCTGGATCATGAAACAATGGCCCAAGCTTTGTTTAGCARGAGTTTGAGATTAAATGTAGTTTAACTTTCTGGACAAAGAGAAGTATAAGTGAACTTGTAGCTTATTTAGTAAGAGCAGAAGATCTTAGAGTTGTGATAGACTGCCTGCCTGTACTCACTAATAATTCACAGGAATAAAAATAATATCTCACTTGGCTGCTGAGTAGACTTGTTGCCTCTTGTAAAGTCATTACTTAACAGCAAATTTGAAGAATATGTGATAGTGGTTTACACTGGCCTTAARCTGTAATAAAAAGGTGGTGGTCATCCAAAACAAATTAAAAGTGATGAAAATATTCAGATTTTAAAATTTTTAAATAACAAGTAAGTGGTTTGTGGGAACAAGAAAACCATCTTACTTGAGTTCCAGGATATACTGGTAATATAGCTAAGGATGTAGATGCTTATTTATTATAGTTGCATTGAGAGATTTTATTTACTAAAGAGCATTTGATTATTCAAACCATCCTGGATTATGATTTCCAAAAATAGGCCTCTTCTGAGAACTGAGAAAGAACTGAAGCATTTTTTCTTTTAAAAATTCACTCAACAACCATAATTATGTGGGTTAGTCTCTGTATCCTCTATTCTGTACCATGGGTCTACAAGTCTGTTTTGGTGCCAATACCATGCAGTTACTATTTGTTACTATTGCTCTGTACTGTAGTTTAAGTTCTGGTATAGTAAGCCACCTACTTTACTCTTCTTGCTAAGGGTTGCTTTAGCTATTCTGGGTCTCTTATTTTTCCAGATGAATTTAATGACTGATTKTTTCTATTTCTATTTTATTGGAATTTTGATTGGAATTGTATTAAATCTGTATAGTGCTTTTGGTAGTTTGGTCATTTTGACAATATTAATTCTGCCTATCCAAGAACAAGGGAGATCTTTCCATCTTGTAAGATCTTCTTTAACGTTTTTTCTCTAGCATTCTGTAGTTTCATTGTAGAGGTCTTTCACCTTCTTCATTAAGTTGATTTCCAAGTTTTTTTAAATGCTCTTGTAAAAGGGGTAGTTGTCCTTGTTTCCTTTTCAGAGGATTTGTCACTGATACACAGAATGCCTTTAATTTATGGGTGTTGATTCTGTATATCAGTGATTTGTCACTGATATACAGAAATGCCTTTAATTTATGGGTGTTGAATCAATTATATTGCTGAATTCATTTACTAGTTCTAGAAGTTTTCTGGTGAAACTTTTTGGGACTTCTAAGTATAGAATCATATCATCGGCAAATAGTGCTAATTTGAGTTCTTCTTTACCTATCTGTAGCCCTTTAATTATTTTTTTTTTGTCTCTCTCATTGCTCTGGCCAGTGTTTCAAGAACTATGTTAAAAAGCAGTGTTGAAAGAGGGTATCCCTGTCTTGTTCCAGTTTTCAGAGGGAATATTTTCAATGTTTCTCCATTTAGAATGATGTTGGCCTGGAGCTTAGCAT